CGAGCTGAATGAGGCGCGCAGGCAAGGACGACGGGCTGAAGTTGCTCGACTCTCTAGGCTTCTTGCAGGCACAGGCGCTGGCCCTCGTGAGCGCGACTACCGCAGGGCACCAGTTGCGCTACCGACGGGAGAGGAGCTTGCTGAGCGCTGGGCTTTACCAGCATGACGCGGTGGCATGGCCGCAACCAGGATCGACTGGCTCAAGGAGGCTGATGACTACGTCTACGATGACACCAGTGGTCAAGAGGCTCATCACTTCATTGCGCCGTGGACAGAGGAGGAACTGGCTTGGGCAAAGAGTCGCATTCAGGAGATTCGTAGATGGATCAGACGAGCTCCTGAGCGACGCGCTTGCCCGCCCTGGTCAGCACCTTTAGAGTTATGGTGGATGGTTTTTCACCCCTACCGTCGTTTCTCCCGACGATTCCATGGCGTTGGCTACGAGATCCCGCAAATTGACTTAGAGTTCGCACGCAAATTCGTTCTGAGTTTCATGCATCGGCTTCGCAGATCTGACCGGGTGCCTCTGGTGTGGCACCTTAGTCAAGGCATAGCGCTCACCTGGAAGCGTGTGATCCACCTTCTCGACCCGTTCGGCAAAGGTTTCATGGCGACGACTATCGACACGACCGAGCTGCACACCGAGCCCCTGTTCGTTCACGGATGTATTCCACATCGGCGACGCGAGACGGCTATGCTTGGTCAGCAGCTTTGCACATGGAAGTTGCGCCGCCTCAACATTAACCACGTCACCGACTTAAAGGACATCACCAACGCCTTCGCCTCCACGGACTGGCAGAGCTTGACGGGCGCCAACGAGAGTATCATGAGGGAAGACCACGTTTCCTTCGGTCGCCAGAGGTTTCGGTTTGCTGCGGCGATGTTTGGAGATATCTATGTTCGCCCCTGTGTGGGGGCATTGATTGGAGACCCTTGGGCGGTCAAAGTATTCGTGCGCGATATCAGTGCAGTTTTTTCTACAGTGCAGGAGATACGAGCAGCTCGCGCTGGCATCAGAAGTGGGCCCTCGACCCTGCTAGGCACCTGAGTGAGTGGGCCCCAAATTTCGGCGACCTCAAAATCGAAAAGCTGCGGGGCCTCCGCACGCTCACCTCCCAGGGCCACCTCACGGAGTCCGCCAACCCCTGGGCCGCACAGTTCGTTCGGGACTCCGAGGCGCTTCGGAGGGTCTCCACGGACATAGAGGAGGATATGCGGTCTTGGACGGGTTCCCCATTAGACTTCTTCGACGAGGGGGATCTGCGGGACTGGTTCACTGAGCTCGGCCTCTCGATCGTCAGGGCTGCGTGGCTCTCCGTCAGTGCCCCTCCTCCAGGCCACCCTCATCGAGCTCCTTTACCCCCAGAGGCGCCTGCAGGCCACGCTGAGGGCATCCAATGCACCGTCGACGGCTGCGACAAATGGCTCCTCACTAAGAGGCAGTGGCTGGTTCACGTTCGTGCGGCTCATGGCTTCAAGACCTTGCTCGCTGAGGCTACCCAGGGTACTTCGTGCTTCGTGTGGCAGTAGGTTGCAGAGTCGCAATTCGGCGTACAACCACGTCCTGGACTCGTTCGCTTCGGGCTTCTGCAAGCACCAGCTCAGCACAACACTCGAACTCGCCGTTCCTGAGGGTCCCTTCCACTGTCGGCTGTGTGCGGCTCAAGTTTCGACTGAAGGTGATCTTCACATCCATGCCAGAGTCCACTTTGAGGACTTGCCGCTAGTGCTGATCGATGGAGCTCGAGGAGCCAAGCTGGGCAGTGAAGCGCAAAGAGGAGATCGGGGCAGCGGCATCCAGGGACGCCAAGGAGGCCCGCCTGCTGGAAGCACTCGGGGAGGAATCTCAGTCCAAGCAGAAGGGCGGCAAGGGCGGGGCGCTGGCGGCCTTGCTGCTGGTCCTCACGAAGCTCGTTCTCACCAACGCGCGCGAACTGGCCGAGGTGACCGGCGCCTGCTTCACGTGCTACATGGTCTGCGCGGGCGTGGCCTTCGTGAAGGTGCTGCAGGGGGCGGGGCGCGCGTGCGCGGAGAGCTGCAAGGCGGGCGGCAAGGGCCACAAGTACGGGCCGCCGTGGCCCCACGTCTTCAAGGCCTTCATCAAGTGGGCCTGCACGGACGGCAAGGAGACGACGCCCGAGGGGGCACAGGCAGTATTCAGGAGTTACTGGCAGACGGTCATCATGAAGGAGAACGCGCTGGGGCTGATGGCCACCCACTGCCGCCACTTCCGCAGCCAGGCGCGCTGGTACGACAAGAAGAAGATGCAGGCCCCAGATCGCTTCAAGCTGCAGGTCATCTTTGGAGTCCCGCAGCAGGCGAACAAGTGGGAGGGCTGCCGGCACACGCTGATGGAGGCGCTGCAGCTGCCGTTGCTGGCGGCGGGCGGCAAGGACAAGGAGACTGCGGTGACCTACCTGCCAGGCTCCCCGCCCAGGGGCGGGCTGGAGCGCGAGGCGGCCAAGCTCGTGCAGAGGCTGGGCCTGAAGGGCAAGCCCGAGGATGAGGACGAGCAAGACCCTCCTCTGCAAGGGCACGCCTGACGGCAGTGAACGGCTCGCGCCGAGCCGCCGAGCTGCACCTCCAGGGCCACTTGTCTGATGCTCCCCTCCTCGCCCTTCAGGCTCGAAGCCCTACTTCAATTCTTGAGTACTCAGACGGCGACCTGGAGGTTAGAGTTGTTTTCAGGTCTCCCCGAATTCATGCTTTCCTGGACGCCGCGGGCCTTCGGGCGCTGTCCGATGCCCCATCGCCAGCTGCGCCTTGCTGAAAGCGCTCTGGGGGATGGCCGACTCGCGGGGTCCAGGCGGACCTCGGACGTCTGGGCGGCCCCGCGCCGCGAGTCCTGATTGGGGTTGTGCTGGGGTAGGCTCATTCTTCGCCTGCCTCTGGCTCTGCAGAGTGCGGGAGTGCATAGGCGAGCCCTCGTGGTGTCCCCTTTTGAGGGTCTCGCCTTTGCCAGTGGCATCCCCCTGCAGGGCCCAAAAGATTGTCGGGCCCCTTAAGTGGTTCTCGAACACCTAATCCGCTTTTTGTTTTCCTCGGGCTCTGCAGGGTGCCGCAGTCTTGGGGCGTTCGGATTCATCGGATCACTGGTGCTGCTCTGCTCTCTGCTCCTGCACGGCCTGCAGTCGTGCGGCCTCGTCCTTTTTCTTTTCCTGGGGTGCCTTACTCTCCTCGCTCTTGCGCTAGGCCGCGTCATTGGCTACTGCCTGCAGCTCAGCGGCCTCTTCATCCAACTCGGCAGCCTTCTTCTCCGCCCTCTCGTGCCGAGCCGCCTTCTGTCCACGCGGCCGCATGTAATCCTGCGCGTGGCACTTGTAGCCGTCTGCTCGGGATGCACCTGCGCCTGGCGAGGCGGGCCTCGCGCGTTTGCTTCGCCACCTCCTCGGCCTCCTTTTTACCTCTTCCTTCGCCTTCTGCTGCTCCTTCTTGCCCTTCGGCTGCCTCCTCTGCCCCTGTCTTCTGTTGCGCCGCCTCCTCCTTCTCGGCCTGCAGTCTGGCGGCCCTCTCCTCTTCTGCCGTTTCCTCCTCCCCTCTGCGCCTGGTCACCTCCCCTGCTCTTTCCTGCTGCTGCGCTGCCTCCTCCAGCTCGGCCTGCCGTCTAGCAGCCTCTTCGTGCGGTTCTTTCTCCTCCATCTTTCGCCAGTTCGCCACATTCGTCTTCTCCCCTTGCGCCGAGCGGCCTCCTTTGCTGTTGCCTGCTGCCGCGCCGCCTCGTCCTTCTCCAGCGCGGTCTGCAGGTGGTCTGCAGACTCGCGGCCTCGTCCTCTGTTGTTTTTCCTCCTCGCTCTTACTCCGGGCCGCCTCCTCTGCTGCCTGCTGCCACGCCACCTCCTGCGCGGCCTGAAGTCTAGCGGCCTCGTTCTCGTCCTCCTCCTCCTCTTCCTCCTCCTCCTCTTTTCCAGCAGCCTTCTCCTCGTCCCCTTTGCACCGAACCCACAAGTCCTGGATCAGCAGCGCGACGATGTCCTCATGCCGGCTTCGGGCAGCGCCTTCGCAGGCGCAATTGACGCAGTTCCTGCGTCCCGACCACAGTCTTCTGGGTGGCTCGAGCTGCAGCCAGTAGAACAACGGCGGCGGCGTGTCCAGGACTGTCTCGTGCTGCTCCGCGTGCGCCTGCTCCTCCTCCTCCTCCTCCTCCTCCTCCTTCTCCTCCTCCTCCTCCTCCGTAGCCATGTTGGCTCAAGAGCTCATGCACCAATATGTCTCGGCATCCCACCAGCGGGTGGGCGTCTCGCGCGATGGCTGCTGGGCTGCTGCCGCCGTGGCTGCCTTCGTGACTTTTTGCTCTTTCTCCCGCTCCAGCGTGGGCCTGTACGACATGCCGTGCTGTCGATCATATGTGAGTGGTGTGCAGGGAGGACTGGAGCTGTCTGCGGCGCAGGCCGCGCGACGTGCCCGTGATAGTCACTACCGGTTCGTTGCGCATTCCAGGCCTGGCATGCGCTTCCTGGAGGTGGCGGCGGAGGACAAGCAGGCGATCAAGGAGATGGCCAAGGGCAAGTCGCTCCACGCCTGCTTGGACCGCGTTCTGGGGCGGCCCCACACGTCCGGGAAGCAGGCGGCGCACCGAGCCTGGCGGGCTGGGCTCATGGACAAGCGTCAGCACAGCGCAGCTCGCCGCCTCCTGGAAGGAGCCGACCGCGCCAAGCACGAAACGGACGGTGTGGCTGAGCAGGTACCCCACGCCAAGCATGTGAATACCGTGCCGAAGCGGGCACCGTGGGCGGATGCAGCCGACGACCCTGGCCCTCCTGATCCTTCTGCTGATGCGGACCTCCGCCGTGAAGATGCTGGGTTTCGTGGGGGGCATCACGGAATGTCTGCTGCTGCATATCCCACTGGACGCGCACGCGCTAGTTTGGCGCAGGGTGCTCGTGCTGATGCTGCCACACAAACGACCCGCCACCAGGTCTGCCTGCAACAAGCTATTCATGTCGCCCCTGCCGGTTGGCTGGCCCCGGGAACGTGGGTGGCTGCAGGCGCGGCCCCTCCAGCTCCGCAAGATGCTGCCTTTCGTGCCCACCGTTCGCGTGGCGTTGATCTGCATGATGGTCCAGATGCTGGCGTGCCTGATGATTTCACTCCTGCCCACATCTCGCGTGGTGTTGCTCTACATGAGGGTCCAGATGCAGATGTGGTTGCCCACCTCCCGCGTGGTGTTGCACAACGTGGTGAAGCTGGATGCCGCCTCGCCGCCCTGAGCGGGGGAGCACGTGGATGTGACAGAAGTGCTCGGCCTGGACCTCGACGACCTCTGCGTCCGCGTGGCCCTGCTTGAGGGTGCGGCGAGGAAGGAGGCCGAGGAGTGCGCGACGGATTGCCTGCAGCTCCAGATCCAGTCGCTGCCCACGCGGCTGGATGCGGCGGTGGAGGCGTTCACGAAGACGCAGACGCTGGCGGCGGAGATCACAGCGCGGAAGACGGTGGAGGCGGTCACTCCCGGTGCTGAGCGCCTGCTTCGCGTGGAGAAGGCCCCCGCCACCGCTGAGACCAAAGCGAAGAAGGAAGCAGAGGAGAAGACCACGACGGACGCAGACGCCAAGGCGGTTCCTCCTGCGGTCGTCCCTGGCGCGGATGGCCGTGCCGAGCTTCATCAAGCTGCCGACCAACCAGCCGACCTTCCTCCTGATGACGTCCGAGACGATCCTCCTCCTCCTGACGACGATGCCCATGCCGTTCATGCTGATCATCACCCTCTTCTGGTTGACGTGCGTTCCGACCTACATCCTCCACGCGGGGGCGCTCGTGGCGCAGACGATCGCCCTGCGGACGCTCCTGGCGCTGTCGTTCCCCTGGAGGAGAAGGCTTGGGCGGAGGCCTATGAGCTGCTCGTGCAGGCCGAGGCCGTTGCGAAGGAGGATGAAGCAAAAGCGAAGACCGAAGCTAAAGCGAAGAAAAAGAAGATTGTCCGTCGTACGGGCGCTGGCCGACGATGGAATGCTTCACTGAAGGTTGTGAACGCCGCTGCCAAGGCCTATTTGTCCTCCGCCAAGGCGAAGCAGGACGAGAAGCTCCACGACGGTGCTGCCAGAGCCCAGTGCTCTTTTGTGGTCGGCGCGGGCACTGAAAAAGGCACCAGCATGAGCGGCGCCCCCATGGAGTCCAAGGGCTTGGACAAGGTCCCTGGGGACATGGACTCGGGCGTGGCCGAGCCGCTCCTCGGGCGCGCGATCAGCGCCAAGCAGGCCCGCGCCGCGCTGCTCTCCCTCGCTGGCTCCGAGAAGCAGCGCCTGCACATCGCGACCATGGAGCTCCCCGACGAGCTGGACCTGATGACGCTCCAGGAGAAGGCCAAGGCCATCTCCCTCCCCGTGCGAAAGGAGGGCTGTGAGCTGCCGCCCGCCCGCGCTTCCCCCTTCCCCGCGTTCCTCTGCCGCTCCGACCTCCTTGCCCTCCGCCGCTCTTCCTCCTCGATGCGCGCGCACCTAGACGACGTTGCAAATCGTAATCGCAATGTCAGGCACGATGCATGTGTAAAGCATAGATGTGATAAGTAGGCTGGAGCTGGACTGCGCCCCCCCCCCAGACGCTCCAACCTCCTCCTCCTCCCTCCTCCTTGAGCCTTGAGCCCAGAGCAGGCAGAGGTAGCAGAAACACTCTAAAGATCTTTCGCCCTGTGGGGCGGACAAATCGTGCCCCATCCGCAGGGCGGACACATCGTTCGCCCCGGTGCACTCAAAGAGGTAGCGGAAAAGTTGTTTTAGATCGTGCGCCCCGTGGGGCGGACATATCGTGCCCTCTTGGTGCACTCAAAGAGGGAGCAGAAAAACTCTATAAGATCGTACGCCCCGTGAGGCAGACAAATCGTGCCCCCCGGGGGCACTCAAAGAGGTAGCAGAAAAACTGTACAACCGTGGGGCGGACAAATCGTGCACCCCCGGTGCACTCAAAGAGGTCGCAGAAAAACTCCACAAGATCTCACCCCCTGTGGGGCGGACAAAACGCGTCCCCAAGCTGCACTCACAGTGGTAGCAGAAAAATGCTACAAGATCTTGCGCCCCGTGGGGCGGACGAATCGTGCCCCCGATGCGATCTACATGCTTACCGCGGCAGCTGGCCTATGCTAGAAGCCGGGCGGCGGAGGAGGCCACGAGAAAGCGAGAAGCGGAGGTTATCAGATTATAGAAGTGTTGCGGCGACACCTGTGGATTACCCTACAGGGTAAACCCGAAACTCAGATGAAGAAAGGGCCAACATCGGGCCGCAGCTAGGAGGCAGGAGCGGCAGCGAAGGGGAAAGAGGAGAAAAGAAGAACGCGAATGGGCAACCAGCCGAAGCAATCAACACCTCACAGCACCGTTGCTGGGTGGACGCCGGCGTGTCGCACTAAGCGCGGGACGGGGGAGAAGGAGGAGAAGAAAGAGAGACGCCAAAGGAGAGTGGCAAGCCACCGAATGCTCGACGGAGCACCTCGTGCGTGCGAAGACCAGACGCTTTGGGCAGTGCCAGAACCGGCGCGCGCACAGGAGTCCCACGCGAGTCTAGTGCAATTTGGGACTGCAGGCTGAAATAGGCCCCAAGTTAGCCTGGTTGGAAGGGCCATGCCGCTTCGCCAGAAGAGCGGGCGCCTAGTGCCACGATTGCCGATGCGACGCAAGGCGGAGGAGGAGGAGGAGGAGGAGGAGGAGGAAGCAGGAGGACGAGAGCGAATGGCAAGATCAAATAAGGTTCTGAAGCCGCGCGAGGGGGGCGCAGGGCACGGGAAGCTCCGAGAGCAAACCGTCCTTGTCTCCCCCTGGGCGGCGGGCGCCGCCCCCGAGATCGGGGGACAGCGCACGGATAAAAAACTAACAAAAACATGCAAAGCAACGTTGTGACCGAAACGGGAAGGATGCAGGAGTCGAGGGGCGGGGGAATTGAGCACTGGTTCGTGGTTCAGAGAACCCGCGAGCCACCAACCGAAAAATTTGGGCCGCCACCGGGCTTGGGACACCACGCCCGCGAAAAAATCGTGCCCCCCGATGCGCACACAGAGGTAGCAGAAAAGCTTTACAAGATCTTGCGCCCCGTGGGGCGGACAAATCGCGCCCCCCCCGGATGCACTAACATACAGTGGAGACCCATGCCAACAAACACCTTGCTTGCCTTCAGGGTGCCCTGGGTTTCTTGGGTTTCGATGGTTTTGCTACGGAAGGCGTGACGTTCCCACACCAAAAATCAATGGACGTCCTGGGTTCTCAGGGTTGGGCTTCTTGTGGAAGGTTTCTTGTGGACTGGCCCCGACTGCATTGTGCCGATCCGAAAGTTTCCCCACTGTTGCCAAGGTGCATCGCGTCGCCATCTAGCCCGGCGCGAAATCGAAGATGGCCAGCGGGGGCCGCTCGGTCAGCGAGGGCAGAGGGGCGGCGGAGGCAGGGGCAGGAGCGGCGCCCCGCCCCGTTTGGCTGCAGGTGCCCAGTGCTGTTAGGCCGGGCTTGTCCTCCTACAGGGGGATTTTTGGACGAAAAATGGGAAATAGTCAAAACGTATTAATAGACAGAAATAATGAAACGAATCGTCCCCGCAATATCCTTTGACTGTTTTAGAATTTTCCTCCTGTAGAGGGATAGGCCCGATTTAACAGTACTGTGTGAACCCAGCCCCCAACCCTCCGGGCCAGAATCACAAACGGTGTGAGGACCCCGATATCAGCAAGCCGCAAAAGACGTCTTCCAAAAAACCGATCGGGATTGCTTCCAAGACGACCCGTAAGTTCTATTGGCCAGCCCAGAAATGGCCCATTCGCGTGGGGGTTGTGCAAACAAATGTTCTCGAGCCCTGTCCGACAGGACCCGAAAATTGGCTTCACGCTGCCGGTTTTCTGCAACAGGAATGTCGGCTGATTTTTTGTTTGCTTCCGTTGGTCTGGAACGCGCGCCAGATTTGTCAGCGCTCGCGCCCGAGAGCGGTTTTGCCCAGGTCCGCGAGGCTCGTGCACGTCTTCCTTATTGTAGCAACATTGCAGTCATGTGGCTGCGCTGCATCCCCGCGGAGCCGTGCTTCGCTAAGCGGTAAATTTTCGGATCCGTGGGGCGGGCAAATCGTGCCCCCCCCCCCCGGTGCATTCACAGGGGTAACAGAGAAGTTGCACAAGATCGTTCACCCCGTGGGGCGGACGATTCGTGTCCCCCCAGTGCGCTCACAGAGGTAACAGAAAAAAACTGTACAAGATCGTGTCCTTCCCCTGGTGCGCTCACAGAAATTGCAGAAAATCGAAACAGATCTTACGCCCCGTGGGGCGATCAAAACCTGTCCCACGGTGCGCTCCCAAACTGAAGTGTGGTGGGGATGGGCACTTCACGGGCGGGGCGCTCATGTCAGAAGTTGTCGTGGCGAATCCGTGCTTCCGCCTTTGGCCGTCAAGCACTGTCACGCCGCTCATTCATATTCGGTCGGGCCTCTTCTCCCGTGGTCCATTGCTCGATCGTGGTGCGGCCCTTCCTCCCGTAGAGTCAGTGCGACTGCCTCTCTTAAGACGAATCGGCCCGCCTCAGGCTACGTCTATTCCTCCTCCTCCCCCTCCCCCTCCTCCTCCTCGGCCTCGCCCTCCGCCACAGTCTCCTCCTCTGCCTGCAAGATGGCGGTTTTCTCCTCCTCCTCCCCCTCCTTCTTCGCCTCCTTGCTGGATGTAACCACCTCGTTCGTGCCTTCCTACGAAGCCGCCCTGCTGACGCATGGCTTTTCAAGCATCCTGCGGGGTCTCCTGACACCTTCCCTGTCCAGGTCGTCCTCGCCACGATCCTCGTCGTACTTCGGGCCCCGTTACCGGGCACATTTCCAGCGCGCGTGCTTGTCCCCGTAGTGATCCATCTAGGTGATGATGTAGTCCATCTCCGCGTCGATCTGCCTGAGGACGGGGCAGTACATGGCGCGCGTGTCTTCTATGACCTTTTCTGGCCTTACTTGTCCTCAACAGTATTTCTGGCCTGCTCGGCCTTCTGGGCCTCATCTATCTTCCTGAACGTATCTGCCTTCTTTGCTTCGTTTGTCTTCTTTGCTTTCGCCTTCTTGACTTCCGTTGTCTTTCTGGGCTCCTCTGCCTTCGTGGCATCTTGTGCAGTCTTTTCCTTGCTGGCCTCCTCTGCTTTGCTGACCTCAGCTATTTTCCTCGACCTCTTTGGCCTCCTCTGTCGTCTTGGCCTCCTCTGCTTTCTTGGCCTCAGCAGCCCCCTGGTCTCCTCAGCCTTCTTGACCTCCTTTGCTTTCTTAGCCTCAACGGCCTTCCTGGTCTCCTCAGCCGTCCTAGCCTCTGCGTTCCAGACATCTCCTGCCCTCCAGGCCCACCAGCACCTCCTCCTCCTCCTCCTCCGCCGCCTCCTCCTCCTCCTCCTCCTCCTCCTCCTCCTCCTCCTCTGCTATCCTTGTCCTCTGCCTCGGGGGCCTGTCTTCCTGGTCTCCTCTGGAAGTGGTCTTCGTAGCTCATGTAGTGGTGTCCTCGTAGCTCAGCGGGTGGCCCTCGTAACTTGGCTGGTAGCCCTGGCAGCTGTGCTAGTGGCTCGGCTTGTGGCCCTCGTGGCTCAGCTGGTGACTCCCGTAGCTCGTCTCTTGGCCTTCGTAGCTCAGCTGTTTGGCCCTCGGAGCTCAGCTGGTGGCTCCCGTTGCTCATCGGGTGGCGCTAGTAGCCTTGCTGGTACCCCCTATCGAAGCTTTGCCTGTGGCCGCTCCGCAGGTGGCTCCCCGTCGTCGTGGCTGCCACCGTCGTAGGTGAAGCGACTTTCGCCGACAAGCCTGGCAGGGTCAGCGAGCCAATGAGCTGGGCGCAGGTTAACTCGCCGCGGTACTCCCAATAGCCATAGTGGTCGTAGGCGTAGGTGTGATTGCACTCATAAACGCGCGGCTGATGGACGAAGCTCGGGGCATCAAGGTTCCAGCCGAAGCCTCGGTATTCCTTCTCCTCCACCTCTTCATCCTCCTTCTCCTCCCCCACCTTATTTTCTCCTTCTCTTTCTGTGCTAGGTCCTTAGTCTGGCCTGCAAACGACACCATCATGAAGCGGGCCGTGTCGATGGTCATTATGTCGCCGGGCTGCAGTTGTAGCTCGTGTCGGATGAGGTACCCCGCGCGCTATCGAGCCGCGTCTACTCGTGCCCATCTTCTGCTGGTCGTGTTTGGTCTCGGCACGATTGCCGCTGTATCTCTACGTAGTGTGGCTAGGTCGCGCAAGCCTTGGCTGCTGTTGATCTTGAATTACGTCATGTCGATCTTGATGATGTTCACGTGGGTCGTGATGTATATCACACTGATGTTGGTGATGCTACTGTGGGTCGTAATGGATTCCATGTGGATCGTCAATTATTTGGTCGCGAACGTATTTCACGGCGCGCCGTCCGCCGCGTGGCGG